TTTAATTCAACCAACAGACTGGAATGGCAATGATTGTCCAAGTTGGTGATCATGAGGAAATAACAATGCCACCTCCCGACTTTCCCAATTGTGGACCGTGGACGCAAGATGATTGAAAGAAACATGACGGTTAAAATTATCTATGTTCCAAGCTTCTTTATCAAATAACTGAAATTAAACTTGATATGGAAAAATATATGATGAAACTGTATTTTTTCCATTTGTTGTAACCTCAAACTAAAGAGTATAGAATTGCAAGAGATCCCACTCTCAGAGTTCTGTTTGAACGAAATCCTATCTCAAAATGTAATACCACGAATTAAAGGGCGTCCTTCAAAAACTTACCTATTCGAATTCAAATCCCCTGCATACACAATCTAAGCAGTCGGACATCTTCCAAGTCTATACTCTTTGCTGAATCTCATTACCGGTATGATGGTTTGTCGATGGCATTTTAGTGACATTTGTTTTTATAAATTGATTTTAATGGAACTACAATAATGTAAAAATTATGACGGGAGTAGGACTACCACTACGTATCGAGTCGGATAATACAGATTGATGACTGGCCTACTGGTTTGGGTTCATATAAACAATAAATGGAAAGCTATTTTTTTTTAACTGAAACGGATTACCGGTATCTTTATTTTCCATAGCAATTTTGTTATTTTAAATGAATTTTAATAATGGAACTAAAAAAATATCACAATTATGAAGGTAGACCTATTTGGGAGATAAGAACGCTCACATAAAATTTACATTAGATCGACAAGTTGATGTATCAGCGCCCTCTAGTGCACAGAAAACATGATGTACTTTCGGTTCTTTCGTGCAATAAGTACTTTACATACAGCGGCCGTATAATGATCCAATAAGCACTTTTCTCAAATAAAAAAGCACTAAACTTCTAATCCAGAAGTCCTATACCAAACATGCTTTGGGGTTTAGTACGTGATTGTGGAATTAAATAATGACTTTTTCATGGATTAAATAATTCGAACCTTGCAGCAAGACAACAGACTTAACCTACACAACATTACATGTACCCCAATATAGGCCTATGTATAATTATTATGATTACTGTATACAATCACATTGTAATAAACAACACTCTTGAATACAAGTTTAGACCTTTTTAAATTGCAGAGTTAGCACTTCATTTCCATGAATCCTCTTTGATGATTTCGCATATTATTACTGTTGTACAAAGTTTCACAAATTTGTTGTAACGCTTGAATAATAACGTACTAGCACATTGATATCTACAAGTAGCTTACTTATGGAGCGCGCAATGGCCATCATAATCTCAGCTTCATTGAAATACGGGGTACTTATGTACGTTTTTTATTAACCGTTATAAACACGAAATCAGGTTAATAAAAAAAATCCTTTTGTACTTTGTGCCAAGTGGCGCTCTACAATCTTGGCTTTGAATTTGATTGTTCTCGTTTTGCCATTCCCCTTAGGAAAACATTTTGTTGATACACAGGGCTTGTTATTTTGAAATTGCTGGTGAGTAAAAAAACGCACACCTATTTTTGTTTAGGCGAGTGATTATTTGGGAGAAGGGAAAATTTAAGTTTCTGTGGGATAGTATACACATAAATACTACTGCAGTCATCAAAGTGGTATTCGAGTTAAAAGCAACACAAAACACATCCAAGCAGAAAGCATGGCCACAGTATTTAGGTTTTTTACTAGATTTAATGTGAGTGATTTTCATACCCAAGGTGCTCTGTATTTCACAATCCTGAAGAGGATTTTAGGTGAGTGATAGTGCGTGAGAGCAATCACTCGCCTCAAATCACTAGCCCTGGATATGTTTTACAACCAATGTTGCTAACACACAAAAAGGATGTTTGTATATATATGTTTATGTTATATACATATATATAAGCTTATATATATATATATATATATATATATATATAAATATAAATCATGATATGTTAGAGATAAATTAAACCGTCTTGCACAATGCTATAACTTATAAATAAACTTTAAATGATAACGAAAAGTCAATATAAATATAAAGAATTAAATGTAAAAGAAATGCTTAGTTTGTGTAATGATACTGGCTGTTCAATATTGGACTTTGATATACATATTTAATTAATTTTTGCTGGTCGTATTATATCGTTTATTTCCCCAAAATAACAGGAGCCACTTAAGGGTCTATATGGCAGGATTGAAGAATGCTTGCCATCGAGGGGCTCTTGGTCCATCGACAAGATTTAATG